CCCCCCCCCCCCTCTTCCCGAGGCTGACCCCCCCCAGCCACTCTTTGTAAGACTTGTGCTCAGACCCCTCACCAGCTTCCTGAAACCGTGTTTAAATCTAATTTTGATTTGCCCCCAGCTGGTGAAAGGCGCCTGCGAGCGCACCTTGCCCTGGCAGAGCATGGCTGGGGAGCAGCTCCTGTCTCCGCTTCTTCAAGGACATCCCTGCAGTAACGGCAGCTTGTGTTCAAGGCAAAAAACCCAAAATACTTCACTTTAGAGCTAAAAAAACCCCCCACAGATCCCCTAAGCTGAATCCCTCTTCTGGTAAGCATCTCCAGCTGCTAAATCTATACGGCACACACAGCATCCCAGATCCCTGCAGAACTCCCCGCTCACGCTGGCTCCCTTTGCCCAGCCCCGCAAAACAGGCAAACGTGTTAATAACAAATCTACAGCGAGGAACTGAGGAGCACCCCTCCGCAGTCACATCACCTCCGGCTGCGCATTGGTTGTTCTACTATTTTAAGGTCGGTTAAATTAAATCCCACAGTTGCCTCAGCCATCATCCCAAGGCTTAATCCATGCATGGAATCGGGCACATAAAGACTTTGCCCACGTATTTGCAGGCTGATTGCCTCCAGGCAACCAAGGAAGCAAATAGAAATTATCACAAGCAGACGGTAAGATTTTTTAAGTGTGATGGATGTTGGCTAAGCTTCGCTCTGGCTAGAAGGAAATGCTAGCGAGTCAAGTCAGAACTTGACCTGAACGAGAGAAAACCCAAGTTAAACCACTGCTTTCACCAGAACCTAGCCTGAAATACGGAAAGGGTTACAAGAGAAACAGTTCACACACGTTACACGCTCAAGAGCGTAACAGCAGGAACGAGGTGGTGTTCTTGCTGCACTTTAAGGAGCTGACTACCCAGTTCCTGGGACAGAAAGAGCTCTGGTAAGAGGTGCTGTCACAGGACATCATCCACCACCAGCCCCCGGCACAGACAACAATCTCTGCCTTCTTGCTTCACGCTGTAGCCATTACGACCCCTTTGAACTCATCCTCGGAGAGCTGAAGCAAGAAGTTCAAAAGTCAAACTTGATTAAAGTCTGGAAATACACAACCGCCTATGCCAGTGTTTTCAGATTTAGTAATCTTTTTATTATCCTTGAAAAGATGTACTGCTTTCGCGGTAACTCATTACAATGACTGAGACCCGATCAAGAGGAAAAAACAATTCCACCGGCGAGTTCTGTGAATACGACAGGGGAGAAAAAAAAACTTGCACAAGAGGGAAACCAAGTTGCTATTCAGCAAAGCGAAGGAAGCTGGAAAGCCACCGCGCGCAGGAGCAGCAGGGCTCCCTCGCCTGCCAAAGTCTCTACCACGGTTTTGGGCTCCAGCTGAGAAGTGAATCGAGCGTTGTCAGTGCCGTGACCGCCCCGCTGGATATGCACACGACGTGAAACAACTGACGTTAAGCAGACGAGTCAGGGCTTTATGAGCAGATGATCCTGTACTAAAACATGTTACCACACACGACAGCTGAAATGAAACTCAAAATACAGCTCAGTGCCTTGCCGACAGCTGCTCTTCCAAAAGCACTACTACTCTCTTCCAAAAGCACTACTACTCTCTTCCAAAAGCACTACTACTCTCTTCCAAAAGCACTAGTTTTTATACCCAAACACACGTATTAGTAGGTTTAGGTGTTTGAGGAAGGAAGTCAGCAGAGTGCAAACACAGATCCTGCACTTCACCTCTCCTCCAGGTCCGGGCCCCTGCTAAGATGAATTTGCGTCAGACAACGCAGAGCTGAGCAAGTACGAGCTTTAATGTGCGGAGTTGTGCGGTCACAGCTCCGAGCACTGCCCTCTGCCTTAGTGCTGCTCCTCATCATTCCGATTATGTCAGCTTTCGGGGAGGACCAGGCAGTTTCCAAAGCAGCAGAAGTCTTTGTCCTGTCCATTAAGGCAATTCGTACATGAGCTTCAGTGTCAAACTGCAGCGGTGAAGCTCACGAAGCTGCTTCATGCAGAACACCCCAGGCAAATCTCTGAAGCCACACAAGTGGGAAAATGTAATAACCCAAGACTGAGTTTCTGTGAACGCCAAAGTGTGTGCAGACCTGCTATCGCCCCCTCTGTCCACCTAACAAAGACATCTTTCTTTTTTACAAACCACAGGCACTGACCCGCCAGCGACTCGCTTCATCCTTACGTTCACTCCTGTGGACTCGCTGGCCTCCAAATTACACAGTCCAATTAAACTTGATTTTTTTTTTTTTTTTTTTTTTTTTTTTTGCATAGTCAGATGACGTTGTCGCAGGAAGTCCCTTACCTAAACCCATGCATCTGTCTTGGCAGGAAGGCAGCCTCCATTATCGAGCAAACACCCAGCATTAGCAGCTTCAGAAGGACGAGAGCAAGCGAGATTCATGCACCAGAGCTCCTGCCACGCTGCACACAGCATCCTACACGGTTCCTTTCTGAGCTACAGCAACACGGCTACAGATAAAAGGGTTGAGAAACAGAGGCAAGAGGTTAACCAAGAACATCAAGGAGTGAACAGATCAGACAAGTTGGGGTGTGGATGACGGGATCTCGATGACAGAGGATCAGGAGAGGAATTCAATGATGCAAGTCAACAGTTCACCAGGACAAAGTTTCACGGTACAGAGACGGATGCTAAAGGCATTTTCATCCCAGCGGAGTGATTGTGTACGGAAAAGCATCCATGCAACAGTGCTTAGAGCAGCAAGGGCCAGTGCGACAGCTCATGCGAAGAGAAGGCGTGCGACTGCTTGGCTGGTATTTAAGTGCAATGTTAGCATCTGAACGAATGGCTAAGTAGGAGGGAATTAAAATATTAAACTAAACGCAATTTAGAAGTTATTCTCTTCTGGAAGCGCGATTTGATTGCTCTTTTTAAACCTAAACCATTCTTTATGGATAGATATTAAAAAAAAAAAAAAAAGAGAAGGAAGGAGCACCGAAGAGGAACTCCGAAGGATGGAGAAGGTGGGAGGACACCTGACAGCCTTGGGAAGCTCTGGCCTTCCTTCACCAGCTGTCCCAAGCCAACAGCAAAGGCCTTCAGCAAAGCGAGTCCCGGAGGCAGGAGACAAAAGCTACGAGGGAAGATAAGCAGGCAGTGACTCAGGTACCGACTATAAAGCACTTCTCTTAGTCCTGAGATTAAAAGGCATGGAGCAGTCACAAAACCCAGATGAAAGCAAGATTCAGGTTACAAAGAACGAAGCAATAACTCCTGGCAAAGACTGCGCACGTACGCTCTTCGAAGACTGAAGTTCAGAATCAATTGTGCTGCCAAGGAATAACACAGGGAAAAAATAAAATTTAAAAAAAAAAAAAACCACGAGGCAAAGAGATTAGCACAATACGCTGTTGGGCTCCGCAGTTTCATACGCACCAAATTCACTCAGATGTACTTTTTAAAATGTGTTTGTCCAGAAAGTTCTTGGAATTTATTATACACATTTAATAACAGCTGATACTCAACATTCAGGTGTTGTTGAACTAAGTTTACAAGCACTTTAGCATACAATGTATACTTATGCTAAGAAACAAAAGATTCAGCATATAAGGAAGTGCAGAAGGAAGCTACTTTAAAGATATCCCCTTCCATCCAGTATCTACATAATACCTGCTTCATTTGCAAACCCTACACG